GAAAATAGAAAGAAGTGTGTGGAAATCAAACATTTTTGTGCCAAATTTTTAATCACCTGTTTAATATCGACCTACTATTGTGGGCACGTCAAAACAACTTTCTGACAGGCATACTGCACATTTTAAGAATCTAAACAAAATTGCCATTGATATACCAATAAGAATGCCGTTTAACTCAAGATTTAAAGGAAAATAACGAAGAAAACTACACTTTCTTTTCGGAATTGATTTAGTTGAAGTTTGCTCCCTTTGTTAGATAGAGAAACCGAAAGAAAAAATATGGTATGTAAAATACTCATTCAAATTCTGAATCGTCTTCCATTATCTAAATTTTCTCGTCAACCAAACAGCACTAACAAAAAAAATAACGAGAAATACAGAAACAAACTTGAATAAAATAGATTTGTATGAGATATGCGAAGAGATTGACTGGGAAATTGCTGTCAACAAGCTGAAAAGGGGGATCACCAAGAAACAAAAAAACAAAAGCAGAGTGTTGCTAAAGACAAACAGAAATTAATTTTTGTGAAATCAAGATGGGAGGTGCTGGACTAAACATGAAAATGAGAGTAGAGATAGATTTGGGCCGCAGTTGAAGCGAGATGGGAAGAGCTGAGAAGGTTCGAGGCAGAGGTTGACCATGTTGAGAAAGCTTTTGATTATGAGACCGAGAACAGGCGCTGGTTTTCGATGATGTAGAACCAGATAACGAACGAGAGGGAGACAGATGCCGCTAACGGTGGGGAGTTTGAGAGCTTGATTTGGCGACACGTACTGAATCATAGGGAGCAAGAGATCTGGAGAAGCAGCGTGCTTGAAGAAGGAGATTGTGAAATCGGCAGGGCTAAGGTGAAATGTAGAGCAGCGACTTGGCAAAATCAAGGAATGGAGGAGATCAATACGGAAAATGAGACGGAGAAAGGAACATAGTTCTTACCTGAATCTCTGGCGCTGGGTAGATGGAGAGAGAGATGAAGGGAGATGAATTTAAGCTGGGTTGTGAAGAGCGAGCAGGCGTTTAAATAGAGAGCGAAGGAGCCGGAACTTGAAGGGACCAACTACCGAGCACGAGGAACACACAGGGTGCTTATTTACGAATAAGCCGCTAGACTTATTCTATTGACTGCCATGTCCTCTATTACTTCAAACTTTTTTGAAGAAAAAAATAATAATTAATTTCATAATCAGCCAACAGGAAATAGGGGTGTGGATGTCGCGATCCAAATTAGAAAATTAGGTAGGGTCGATTTTTTTAGTTTAGACCAAACTGAACTGAGCCCATGGTTAATTTGGTCTTTGGCTCTGGGATAAATAATTCAAATTTTTTGGACTTAAATTTAGATTCATGCAGATTCAGCCTCGATCTTTATTAGTAATGAGAAGAAATAGCTCTCATCTCCTCTCCCCTCCCCTCCGCTACCCTCTTGCCTGTAAAGTTTCACGCACAGCTTAACAGTCACGGTTATTCCTCCTTTAGACTCAACTTCAGCTTCTCAAATAACGAGTTGCAAGTTACGTCTCATGGCCTCCTCTCCTATGCTCTTTCGTGGTTTGCCTCTCGAGTCTAGTGTTGACTCACA